ATGTCTTATGTTAAAATACTCAAAACATAGTCATTTATACCTCAAAATTGCAACTCATACCAATCCAAGCTCAGTAACGTTCATAGTTTTGATCTGGTCTTATATCATTTTATGTTTGCGTAACAAGCGCAAGTAATTGGATCAAATCAACAGTGTTAGATGTCCTTAAATGCAATGAAGAGTGGAATAATTGGAATAATTGATGACGAATCGAGTCGACTGGATAAATCAAAAAACTTTCAAACGATTTTATGAATCTAACTTTTTAGATTCAGATTTATAGATTTATTCACAGATTTATAGCTTTAACTTTATTGATTTAGCTTAAGATTGAAATGGATTTATAGCTTGATTTATGGATGATTGCTTCAGTCAATATAATTTATACATTTTATGAATGTGTCGTGTGAAAGTATTTTGATGGATTGAATATGAAATAAACTCGAATGCACAGCTTTATCATTCCATCTGCTATAATAAACATTTTTATTCATTTGTTTTTATTGTGAACGTTAAGCGATCGTCATCACCGGTCTCATCATAATGTTGTTGTAACAGAACAGATTCGATAGCAATTGATAGCAGTCATACTTTCCATTTAATTACTGATTATAAAAGCTAGATTATTCCTCGAAACATCCATAAACCCATTCGACGACGCATGAACGATTATTCCGTGTGATTCAATTAAACGAACTACGCACAGACGAAAAATTCGAATGACACTGCCTAGATTTTCACATGTTATCCTTCCCATTCTCAGATTAATGAATGATTCGGACACCAATGAACAAATTCGGATGCTATTCCCAAATGAATCGCACATGAATCTCGCCGCATCGCTACGAAATTTGAAACGGATGAATTGTTCTGATCGGATTCAGTTGAAATGGTACGAATCGCTTACTGGTGTAATTTAATGATTTTTGCACTTTTTCTTCGCAAATTTTCCGCTAAAATGCGCATAAAAAAGTGGTATTTGCGGAGTTGCATTCTAAAATTTACGTGTCCAAAACGGTAGTGTCCGGTGCGCAGAAGCTTGACGTCTATAATGAGACATTGATGTAAAAATATCTCGTTTCAAGCTTACGGAAACAATCGATTCACATAAATTTCAAATTTTATGCATCATTTTATGTATTATGGACTGTACGCAATATTTTATGTGTAATGACAGCTTTTGCAGCAATCCGTCAGCATTTGATTGTTCTCACTGATCAAAAAACGTGAACCAAGTGCAATAGTAAATGCAATAAAGTGCAATAATAAATAAATTTCAGTGAAATTGCATTCTATAAATAGCTGGAATGTAGCAATAAACGGATTCAACGCCCAATGACGTTACCTGATTCACATAAAAAAGAGGTGCAGCCATGATCAGCGAGAATGTCCATGTGATTGAAACCAAATACATTGCACGATGCCTGGTCAACCTTAACCACGGTGACATCACAAATATTATTGCCGTGAAACGATCGAAACTGCAATTCATCTCTTTCACTAAACGCCTTCAACGCAATCATTCAGGCGCACTTCCAGTACATGTGTTTCATTTCAATAGACATCCCCCTCATCATTGTGAGTTCGACCGACTAGAAGTTGGTAAAATTTCGTAGAGTTTCTGGAATTCATTCATAACGAACGCTGAACCCACAATTATCGAAATACCAAAACGAAACAGCGATACCAAATGATGTTATCTAGTCCCTTTCATTTTGTCATTGGTAGATCAATTTGTAAGGACTTCAAATCAACAAGAGTTCGCTGGTCATCAAAACAGAGCTCGATGGAAAACTTGGGAAAATTTGAAGATAAATCGAAGAGAATGCCTGTTCCTGTGATATTTTATGAGTTTCTAAACACACTGCACCAAATTAACTCAAGCGAATCACATTCTCACACTCGTCGCTACTTAATATATTTCATCACTAATGCAATATTGCTTCTTTTTTTCGAGAGTGAGAGAACTTAAACTTCGTTAAATATTCAACCATGACAAATTCACAAGGATCACAGACTGAACTTTATTGATCTTCGTGTTCCTTCAAGCTGCTGTCATTTGTTTTGAATTTTTTCAGTCTTTCGCATGATGTTGCACACACTGTGATCATTTTCGCATAAAAACACCTCACAGTAAATCACTCGATTCGAAATACTGGTCACGACTCGACGAAAATTAGCATTTCAGATCTTCTGTTCTATTTTGAGAGCTAAAACACCACAAAAAGCGAAGATCAGCCGAAGTACGGAGAAACCCGCTTGATGATACTTAATGAGTTATTTGCCTTCAGCGAAATAGCAACCAATATGTGCAAACGTGAAAAAATGATGAAAGAATTTAGCCTTGGGCTTCAAAAAAAATCATTAAACTAATTTCATCAGATAACACTTTCCATAAGTAAGCGTTCAGCAATAAAAAATCATAGGATGAGGTACAAGTGCTTCAATATGCGTTGTATTGGAACACACTTATGAGCATGTAGTTTTGTGTGCTGATAATAATCAATTTCAATGGAGACCTCAAAGTAAGCCCTGTTCATGAATGAAATTTTTGTCGTTGAAAAGCGAAAAATCTCCTTCGTATAATTCGACAGTCTCGGAGATTCATTCGATTAATTTCTCTTGAATATTGACTATCCTCAATCAGCGAATGTCCACTAGTAACCTTCACTCGATACCATATCTTTCTTAAAGCTGAACGCATAACTCCGTAAATGATGTTAATTCTCCGTAAATGATGTTAATTCTTCAAGAGTCAAGTCGTCAATACTTTAAGCTTGAGCAGTTATTACTTTATCCAATTCAATCCCATTATAGCTCAACTGCTGTGATCAGGCGCAAATGAGTATCACCGAGTCAACCAAAAATATAAACTCAGAACAACCATCAGCGTATAGTTTTTGTAAGTACAACGTCGTCAAAGTCGTTTGTTCTTCTATGATAGCAGCAGCCGAACGTATCGTATTGAATGATGTTTAAAGCTTGCTAGTGATACGACGTATTATGCACAGACTGGATGTTGTGCAAATCAAATATTGAAATTTCGAGGAATAGCAGCAATTAAAGCATGAAATAATGCAATGAAATTCACGGAATAGACAAAGCGTAATTTGATAAAGCGTTTGACGCTTTTTTAGAACAACGTTCGAATAGTGCAATAGAATTCAGATTGAAACATTTCAGCAGACTTCCCAATGAAATCTAATTTGTTTTGTCTAACCAGAATGAAACTGATTTTTCTACAAAACAATATTCTGGCGCAAACAACTTAAAAAGTTCGTCGGAAATGTGATCGCATGACGACATTGTTTTTTTTTCGTTCAGAGTATAATTGTTATTTGATGGTTGCAGCTTGAACAGAAAATGCGCTCGGCAGTTTTTGTTCAAATGCACATGGCACTCCAAGAAAATGAGCCTGACGAACAAGGAAAGACTATTAAAGCATAAATTCTAATCATTTCGTGATGAAAGAGATTGATTACAGAAAAAATTCAAACAGATGTCTGACGCTCCAACAAATTTGAATTCGTTATTATGCCTAACTGCTTTTAAAGTGGGAAAGAGCCATTAGATAACAAACCTGATAGCAACAAGTGTCCATGAACTGAGGAACACGGCCGTTGCTTGTAAGAATGCGAATAGTTTACAGAAGGCAGCACCGAAGATCCATCGTTGATCACTGAAAATGATGACATGCCAGTACGAGAACGGCATACAAAGAACACTAATCATGAGGTCCGCAATCGCCAGATTCAGTATCAATATATTGGTCGCAGTTCGTAGTCGTCGAAAATACAATATCACCAGCACAATCAGCGAATTACCGCATATTGCTACCACACTCAGCGTGCTGTACAGAAATATCGCAAAAGCCTGAAAATTGCCATATGCACAAACATTTGCATTCAGCTGGAAAATTGCGTCTAGTGAAATTATGCTTGGAACGAATGAACTGCAGAGTAAATGAAGCATTCTGAGCGATCAGATTGTTGGGATTACGATTGATTTGTATGCTGCATATCTAATGATTCTACACCTAATCATGCGAATCGCTTGTGCAATTGTTACAGCCCTGTGTGCAGTTGGTTCATGTCTTGATGGAAGCGAGAACATGAAAGAAGTGACCAGTGAGCATGCACGAATAGGCTATCCAAAGACTGCACAAACATTAAAGTAATGTGGCATACATTAGTGAACAGCGAATGTTGC